CACCCCCACCCCCCACACACCATTTTCATGGTGAAAATAACAAAATCAAGGCTCAGTTTTCATATTTTGGTAGAACAAAAATGATTGTTTGCAGTTTCAGGCAACCCTAGAAACCTAGTGGCGTTTGATGGTTCAACCTGGTCCATTGCCCTGGCATGCCTCCAGAAGTCCCCATGTAAAATAGGGTAGCCTCTTAATACTTCCAGCCCTCAAAAAAAAAATAACAAAAGAGGACACAGATTTACTTAAACTGAGCATTTGCTAATTTATATATTCAAATGCAACTTTAGAAGGGCTGGCTTCTAAACCTTGTTCCAGAGCATTACATTTTAAGGATTCAGACAAATCCTTCAATGGTCTCTGCTCTGAATTATTCTGGAAGCTGCTTGTAATTAGCTTTGAGAAGATAATAGGGAAATGTGATGCTTTCTTTGGCTGAGTTCATACAACACCCAGTTATTCGTGGTTATTTTAACTCTTGTTTAGTGAATTAATCCATCTTTTAGGCTCACATGTCATACTAAACTATCCTCACAACTTCAACTTGTTAAAGCATCTGCATATTCTTTTATCTTACATATGTTGGAAACTCTTGTGGGTTTCTTCAGACTCCCAGCTAGTCCAGGCATCAGTTGCAGATGGACAGTTTCAGCTGCCTTATGGGTCTTTATCTTTCAGCTAGCCTTGACCTGGATAAGACACCTGCCACCTGCTTCTGGCAGCCCTTTAGACAACTGAGGTTGTGATCTAACTCATCAGAAGGATAACATGTTGGGGAAAGATGAGATGGAGGATGCCCTCAAATGCAGGGCTTTCCTTTGTCAAGGAAGACACATGGGCCTCCGAAGCAGGGTGTCAAAGCAACCAGCCCAGCAACTGGTATTCAGGGATATTTGTGTCTCTTAACACTAAGGCTACAATCAGTCATTGTGACACATGACTACTGAAAAACTGAAATGAATTCAATAGACCTGACCTCCCCTGCTTGGGACGATAAGATCCAAACACGAGATCCTGGAAGCTCCAGAGGATGGGTCCCTGAGGTCTGGCCTTCAGAAACAGAAGAGATAAAATTCAGCTGATGTATATTTCAGGGTTGGAGAAGGCCACAAAATGTGCAAAGCAACAGTGTCTTCTTTTGCTATTGTGTTCCTTCAGGAACATCATTCCTATTGTTCAGGATATTTAATGCAATTAATACAATACAATACAAGGTGCTGCTAAAAATTGTGTGGAAAGGGAAATGGAATCCTCAGCTTCATAATCTAAAAACATACTTTTCCCAAGAAGTCATTATCCAGAAGGGGAAAATATTGCTTAAAATGATGTAACCCGGAAGTTGTGGTAAACTTAAGGAAATTAATAACATTGAGGCAAGCTGATATGGATGGTGGTGGTCATGATAAGCAAGAAAATAATCTGGATGTTAGAAATCTGGGTGTCTAAACAGAGGTAGACAGATATATTGATAAAGAACAGGCAATAGATAAGCTGATCAAAGGCTAAAATACAAATATTCTCACAAGATATTGGGAACTTCACAAAGGAACTGGGACTTTTTATTGGGAGTAGGACGTCACCCATAGAGTTAACTGAAAGAAATGAAACTTTGAGTGAAGGAAATATATACAATGTTGGATTAAGAGGAGCAGATCTAGGGACTTTGTCAAAAACAAGCTTTGACCCAGAAAGACAAAGTCTGAAAGAAGTAAGTAGAAAAAAAGGAAATGAAGTAATTAGCTTAGGAAAACAAGTTGAGGAAATAAACAGGAATCAGAGATTTAAAGTGAAAGGTTAGCTGAGAGTAAAGGAAAAAGGAGGCAAGTGAGAGGGAGATTTCTCATGAATCATTCATAAAACAAAACAAGAGAAGGAAAATATAATGCTGTCAAATTTGGTGAGCCAAGGAAGGAAATTCAGACACAAGAGGGATTTAAGGGAGCTGGATAAGTGGGCAAGTTTCCACTGTGAGGAGAATCAATCCAATGTGTCAAGATGGTAGCTACAATTGAAGCCCTGCCCCTTTTAACATGCACCATGCATGCCAGGGACAGGGTGAGTCCACGAGACCGAGGACTAGCTTGATGTATGATTGCTGGATCATGACTGGAAGAACCAATGATCTGAAAATCCAGATTTGGATCAGGGTCAGGAGGAAGGGAGGAGAATCAAGAGGAATGAAGAAGAGCCAAAAGGAAGGTAGAGGAAAAAAGATGTTTGCAAGTCAATTAAAATGGACATTTTAAAGCTAATGGGTTTTGAAAAACGCTCTCCCTGATTGTTAGGTGACAAAGAGTGAGAGAGACAGAGGGACTATGTTTTCTTAGCATGCCTCTCAGGACTGATTTGTTCCATAGCTGCTGCTTTGTAAGGTTATTCTCATATTTATATAAATCATGTAGGTCTGTGAGACTAAGAAGAGCTCTGTTTTAGTACTTGCCTTAAGCAAGCATCTTTGATTCTGAAAGCAAGAAATTAAAGTGTGTTATTTATTCACAACCAGGGTGTCTTGAATCTTACTGGATCTGGGTAGGTGCCCTTTACTTCTGCTCCTGCTGGGGATAGGAATTGAATAGGAAAGAGTAGGGGCTCTCAGCTCTAGGAGTTTCTTTTGGGGTACAATTTCTCAAATTCATGATTAGCCTCAGTAGAAACGACAGGGCTCTCCAAAAAGCTATGCCAATATAAAGGGCATAGAAGAAGATACACAGAGAAGCAATTCTTCGCTCAGTTAAAACCTATTTTTTTTGTACAACAATTGTTTTAAGTCACAAAAATTAGGAAAGTATCACTCAATAGAAGATTAATAAATGCATTATCAATTAGAGAGTCAGGCAAAGGGCCTATGGAGAAAAACGTGACATACAGGAAAGCAAGGCACTCTTATAGCTGAGATGATAAGCTGACATATATAAAACTATCAGACACACAAAATAATATTCAGAGAACAAGCTCTTTGGACCATTCTTTTCCAACCCCGTGTCCTCCAGCTATGTGGGAATATGTCTTCTATTTTCTCCAGACTTTTAAATAAATCATTGTCACTGGATTGATGGAAGAGTTGTCTCTATCTCCCTAAAGCATTGTTTCTCAACCATGGCACGGTACTTTCTCCACTCCTTTGCAACATCTATATGAAACTGCTGGGTGAGATCATCTGTCACCATGGGTTGAGGGATGCACAGTATACTGATGACACCCAACTCTATATTTCCATTCTTGGTGGTGACCCAGGTGATGCTGTGGCTGCCCTCTCATAATGCCTGCAGGTGTGGGGGACAGCAGGCTTGAACTGAACCCTGGCAAGATTGAATGGCTTTGGGTACATGGGGCTCCAGGATCTGGGACTTTGTCATCTTTGACTCTGGATGGGGTGGACTGCCCCAGAAAGATCCGATCTGCAACTAAGGGGTTCTCCTGGACTTGTGACTCCTGTTCCTGGATCAGGATTCCCTGCACTCAATCATTCAGTCCCTAATCATCTCACAGTTGGACTATTATAATGCACTCTTACATGGGGCTACCCTAGAAGAGCATTCAGAAGCTACAACTGCAGAGTGTGGCAGTGTGGGCAGTTTTGGGGTGGCCAATAATGGCCCCTGTAATACCACCGCTCTGTGAGTTGCATTGGTTGCTGGTCTATTTCCAGGTGCCATTCAAAGTATTGGTGATCACCTTTAAAGCTCTTTATGGCATAAGTCCAGGTTGCTTGAGGGACCATCTCACCCCACTGGAATTGGCCTGTCCTTCTTGTGCCAACCCTCCTATTCTTTTGTAAGGGCCTAAAGACATGACTCTGCCAGGTGGCTCAGGACCCCAATGGGGGAACAGCACAGTGGAGGTGGTTGATCAAGTAACAACAAATCCCACCTTTCCCCCCCCCCACTCCACCTGTCCTTAGATTTTAATGTTTAGTTTTCATTTATTTATGTTTTGATGTATATGATTAGATACATTTTTATGACTGTAAGCCACCCAGAGTTACCCCAGATAGGCAGCCAATAAATTTTATAAATAAATAAAACTGGCTATGGAATAATGGGAGTTGAGATCCACACATCTTCAAGCTGCCAAGATTGGAATAAAACTGTCCTAAGCTAAGAACCAACATTCCTATAGTTTGTAACAGGGCTGCAAATATCTCTTCCATATGAATCCACTCAGCAAGAAACACAGCAGTGGGACGGAGTCTCATCTGTAAGTGTTTTCCAGAGGCTTAACAACTATCTGCAGGCAGTCCCTGGAACAAAAGGCTTCTGCATAGGCCTGGGTGTTGGTTTTACCTGCAGAGAGTATTTAAGGAAACTGACTTTCCCTTCAACTTAAGGCAGATGTTCATGGAGACTGCAGTATCTTGGGACTAAAATCCAAATCATCCTCATCCTCCTCTGAAATCCACAGTGGTTGCAGGACTGCTTTTTCAGCCAAGAACTCTTCCCAAGGTACAATTTCATACAATGGTCAACTTGGCTGCCAAACATTTATAATAGCCAAATATCTTGGGGCCACCCTGACTGAGATATTCATGATGCTACAATAACAGATCAGGATTGATTCTGGTCTAAGTTATCAATTATGATAGTGCTGTTCTGAACAAAAACCAAGCATAGTAAATTCTAGAAGGCTTCCCAGAAGGAAAAGCAGATGTAGGGTCACCTTGAATTGTCACCACAAGCGTTTTTTATACGTAAATATTCTTTGAAGAGATAGCTTTAGTGTCTTGCAGTACCCAGTGTGGCCACAGGATGTCTCCCTATCTTGCACAAAATATACACATGGGTCCTTTTAAATAGCTGATAAAAATAGTGCTCCGAATTGTGCAGAAGTGGTCTTACTACAGTACAAAAAGCTTTAATTTTTTTTTTTAAAAAACCTGTTTATTACACATATATTATGTTTACTATGAGGAAGCTCTGTTGAGAATTATAGCTGCTTCCAGCAATATTTGCTTTCCAAAGATAACAGATAAAAAGGCTCCAATCATCCTTCTGGCAGGAGTCTTTGTCCAACGCATTAGGATGGTGCTGGGTTGGGGACAGATCAATACACAATATCAGAATTTTATAATAAAAACGAGTTCAGTGTAAACTGGACTCATCAGTAGCAAAACTGGAGCAATTGCGCAGGTCATTGAAAGGAGGGGAGAACCGGAAACAGAATCTGGGATAAAGACTTCAGTGTAAGATCCAATGTCATCTGCTCCTTCAGGAATAAATGGCTTTCCTTCTTGAGCGGTGGCCTTTTGTATCCAGTCAAGGTAGCTGAAGACTGCAGTGTAGACCGTGGGGCTTGCCTCTGGGTCACAGTTTCCCCCCCAGCTTGCTATGCCAACCACAAACCATTTCATGTTGCTTCCAGAATCACAGAACAGGGGACTCCCACTCTCCACCTGGTGAAATAAAAGTATAGCTGAAATAGCCCAAACTCCTATGCAAAGGGTCTTGAGCGGTTAAAGAGAATATGTTAATAGTGGACAATCAAATGTGTTTTTGGCATATTGAATTTAGGGTACCTTAGTTTTGTCCCAGCATGCAAAGATCAGCTTTCTCCTCCTTTTTAATGCAAAACTGTCAAAAACTGTAATGATTGTTTACCCAAACAAAATATATGTTCTCCCCCTATATATTCTAGCCTCCATTTTGATTTCCATGCCTTATTTCTCCTGGCTTGGATTTTGGATTGTAAACACCAAAAGGGATAGTCTTGCATTTTCTAATATGTATTGATAGAATGGTACTACATAATTAATAACAATGATTTAAAACATAGTTTAATCCTCCAATCACTGCCCTCCCCTTCCCTTCAATTTTTTCCTTTACATCTTCAACTGATTATTTCTATTTAATTAAAAAAAACAGTGCTTTTTTTGTAAAAAAAAAAAAAAAAAAAAAAAAGGTGCCGGAACTCATACATGTCATCCAACCCGCCTTGCCTACCCTACAAGGTTCCATCCAAAAAAGGTTACGGAACTCCATTCTCGGCGTTCTATGTCAAAAAAAAGCCCTGAAAAAAACCTTCTTCCTCTTCTACACAAAATACACAAGATCTCTGTGTTATAGCAAAACCCTTCCTACCATTTTTGTTACTTAAAGGGCTAACAAATAAATCAAAGGGTCACAAAGATATCAAAGAAAAGAAAAGAAAGGATGGGAAGGGAAGGGAAAGGAAGGGCAGAAGACACACAAGCAAAGAAAATAACAATGTGTCTTTTCTCATTTTCAATATTGTGAGCTTGAATTTAATGTATCGCTCATACACTAAGGAACAGTTTTAGCTTCATACTTTCCTAAAATACCTTCCCTAGGTGTTTGAAAGTTGAGTAAAAAAAAAATGGGCATGAATCTGCTGTGCCAGAGATACTGGGGTCTTCTAGTAGCTCAAGATGAAATTAAATGTACCTCACAGTTCTCCTCCACGCTTTCCTTAGAAACAGCACAGAAGACATTCCCGATTAAGCCTTGGATTTCCTTGGAACATACGTCTTTGTTAATTAGAGTCACTTCTACCTTCATTAACATGTTGGTTAATTTCTCATCTTCATCTGCAGGCAAGAGGAATGGTGAAGGCCGAGTAACAGTTTAGAATCAACCAGTAATGGATAGAAATTAGCCACACCGTATTTCACAGGACATAATAGGTTAAGAAAGATTACTATCCTGTCGCCATAAACAAGGAGTAGCCCTGGAATGATGTCAGAGATGCCAGCTTTGCTCTCATGTGATAGAAAGGATCCTGGTCTCTTATATTATGAGGGAAGGGAAGGAAGAATTAGGAATAGGAATAGGGAAGGAATGGGTGCACAGCTTTTGGTGAGTGGGCAGCATGTTGCTCTAATCCCTTTTTCTAATCCTTTGCAGATCCACAAGACTGTGCTGCTGAAATTTGGAGGCCAGTAGGAGAGACTTTCCGCCATTTTCTAGGGCAGTGTTAACTTTAATATGTGTGGACCAATTCCCAAAATTCCCCAGCCAGCTTGCTAGCTGGGGAATTCTGGGAGTTAAAAGTCCATACAAAGTTGCCAAAGTTTGATAAGTACTGTTCTAGAAAAAAAAAAAAAGTAACACATTTAAGTTATTAGATAAACTCATCTATAAAAATCCTTGAAAATTCCTTAAAATTAACCTCACTCTTGGGATAGTTGAAAGTATATGTAAAGTATATCTATACATCTACATATACATCTACATACACACACACACACACACACACACACACATATATATACATACACATCTACAGATATATATATCTCTGCATTTTATACTAGTTTTTAAAGAACAGTTAAAGCAGAGCTTTTTCTTTCACCTTCAAACTGATGTCCCAACAGTCAGTGAAGAACCAAAACTGAAAAATGAACAGCTCTTTCAGTAAAACAACAATCCAAAACATTCCTCCAAATTAATTATAAAGTACTTGAAGGGATGAAAATAAAAGTTTTGAAAAGGCCTCCACAATCCCCAGATTACAGACTTTATAAAAATTCACTAAAAATATTTTTGTGGTAAAAGAAGTTGGAGAAAGTCTGATTTTCCTCTTGTATAAACTCTCAGAAGGCAGCTAGTCACTATGTGATCCAATGTCTGATAAGGAGCACCACAGTCACATTTAGGGGAGGATACTCTGCCCCACACTTATTCTATTCTTATGAATCAATGTATTTTCAAATGTAACCTATAACTTATATATAATGTTCTGAATTCCTCAAACCTTACAAAATTGACTACATATTTCCATGATATGTGTACCATAATATTATGTGCTCCTTCTATATAATTTTGATCTATGCTATACACTATAGCTCAGTGGTGGCAAACCTATGGCACATGTGCCAAAGGCGGCACTCAGAGCCCTCTAGGTGGGCATGCGCGCCGTCACCCCAGCCTTACCATCCCGTGGCCCCCTCCTCACCAGAAGCCCCCCGGAGGAAAGTCACCCAGGGCGCAGCCTGCGCGGAGCAGCGCAGCCAAGGACATGATAGCCGGGCAACGAGGACAAGACTCTGCCCTCACACCCCATCGCCTGCAGATGATGCTGCGAGGTGCGGACAGAGAGCATGGCTGCCGTGACGCTGCTGGGCTGCCTGGGCAATCTGCTGTGGCAGTGGGTGGAGGTGGTGGGTGGCCTTGCGGGCAGGAGAGGTGGGGGCAGGGCAGGGGGGAGGCAGTTTTTGGGCACTTGGTCTCTATAAGGTTTGCCATCACTGCTATAGCTGATTGAGGCAGCCATGTTAGGGAACTCTTCCCTTTAATCTGGTCTGCAACCTAAGCTAAAAAGGAGAAAAGAAGTTGGCTGCTGCTTTACTCCTTTCCTTTTTCTGGAATCAGAGATCCCACTAATGTCTACTGTTATCCCTCATAGTAGCAATAACCGTAATGTTTAAAAGCAGAGGGATGTCAGAGGTTTTCGAGATTCCATTTCTAGTTTGAATTCATGCAGGGAAGGGCCATTGTCCATGAAAACATTCCATTCCCTGTTTGCTTTTGAAACTGCTAATTCATTCACCTTCCCTGCCGCTATGGACTGTCTTTTTTGTATAGACTTTTTTTACCCCTCTTCCTCTCTAGATAGGAAACATTTGCTTCTTCAAAATCTCTTGATTTTGAAAAGAGGTGGGAGATGGCCATCAACAAGGAATTCAACAACCATTATATAAATACTGTACCACCTTAGCCTGGATGGGGGAAGGAAGTGGGGAAGATATAGATAGGTGGGTGGGTGAGGAAAGCAACTCAGGATTTTTCCATCTCAGTTCTCTTTAGCGTAAGAGGGATCCTCTGTATCCAACTTTCAGGAGTCTGTCACTCTACCTTATAATAATAGAGTGCCAGTAGTTGATACGATGTGTTTCCTAGCCTGGTCTACTCCGAAGCCAAATTAGAGTAAGAAGTAGGATGCAATTCTCCTTGCCCTTCCTTTGATTTGGTTTCAAGGTGGCCATTAAAAAAATGGAAGGCAAAGTTAGAAAGTTTTTCCTACTGGAAAGGACAAAAAGAAAAAAAGGAAAGGAAAAGAAAGAAGGAAAGGAAAGGAAAGGAAAGGGAAGGGAAGGGAAGGGAAGGGAAGGAAAAAAAGAAAAGAAAAGAAAAAACTTTTTCCCCAAAGCACATACAGGAAGAGTGGGAAAAGTGAAATCATCAGCAGCAAAAGCTAAAAAATATTACCCCATCTCCATTTCTTCATTTCTAAAATTCCTCCCTAACTTGAGATTGTAAATAGACAGATACATTTAGGGGAAGGCCCTTTGGTTCAATCTTGGATTAGAAAATGCAGTACCAGCCATTATAGTCTTCCATGTGGCAACCCAGCAGTCTTGCCATATGCTGAGATCCTGCAACAAGGGCAAGCAAATTGGTGTTGTTTTTTCACTGAAACTGATGGGAGAATCCAACAAGATCAAAGCAATGTTGTTTCTCAGACTGGTACTGTTGAAGTCTTCATGGACGATCACCATGTCCAACTTCTTTTTCTCCAAAGGCTCCCCATGCAAGATGACCATTATGGGAAGATCTAAAGAACTTGGGAACAAAGATGGAGGCAACAACACATTACTGAAATCTATTCAGACCCTAAGAGCTGGCCTGACGAATCAAAAAATGACATACTGTTCAGTTGGGCCAATGGTAGATTTAGTGCAAAAATGTTTTAAAGATATCTTTTGTTTTGAACCTATACAGCTACAAGTTCCCAACTTTTTTTTTTCAAAATCTCTTGAATTCCCAACTTGGAATGGCCTAGGGATTGGCATATCTGGGACCTTGGACAGCAAAACAGAGGGCAACCTAAACTGCTTCAAGCAGCAAAGTAGAGCAGGCAGGATAATAAATTGAATTAGCCTGCTGTAGAGGACTGGTGGTGAGAATATGAATGATAAGTGTTTTTACTATTATCATGTGGGTTTTTCCATTCAAAGCTCTATTCCTACCTAGTTCCTCTGCAGTCAGCTGGCATCCACATCTATTTAGACTGCTTCAGTCCTTGCTCAATTGTTATGAGCCTGTGTGATCATCCCTTATTTCCTAACTATGTTTGCACTTCCCTCAAATCTATTGACATCTTTCTTACATCTTCTCTGCAATACTCACAGGTCCTCCATGAAGCAGTGAGCTGCAGACAGGATCCACCAGCTGCTCAGAATTGCCCCTCTGCAGATAACCTTGTCTTTGGTTCGAATGCTGACCTGCCAGGGTAGGGTTTCAGATGTACTTGCTGGGGTTCCTTCTTTGAGTCTTGGTACTGTCCAGGAAGTGGCTCTGAATTTGGGACTCAGGCCACATGAAGAAATCGGAACGGTAGGCAATATTCTTAATTCTGTTTTAAAAAAGTGGAATTCATTCCTCTAAATTTGTGCCCATTTTCCAAGTGTGAGAAAATTTAAGTGTAAGCTGATTGGAACTGTATGTCTTAGCCAGCCTCTGTGTTAATACAGTATGACGTGGACAGCTCCAACATTATGTTTTTCTTCTGGGATATGTGGAATAAACACATTAAAAAAAGGATTCCACCTACTTGTATAAGAGACAGTCATTGAGGAGACCAGAAACAGAAGTACAAGCAGCTGCATTTTGCCCTCTTTCTAAAGGGATCCTCCACGTTTAAAGTGAATGCTGAGCAAAGAACGTCGTACAAATCTCACCGTGTAGCTCAGAAAAAATGTATTTGCTTAGAAGAGGGATGACCCACATTTCCTCTGCCCCATGTGACCTCATGCACTACCTAAATCACCTGTGATGATATCATAATAGAATCCTGGGGTTTGACTGGTATTTGCAAGTCCAGCAACAGGGGGATAAATGTGTGTCCAAGTTTCTGGTTCTCAAGTTTCAAAGGCACCCGGTTTTGTGAATGGTGAAAGGATCAAATGTTGCAGGTACCCAAGTTTGAGACTGAGGGGCATATTTGATCTTTAATATGAGTTCTAGGGGCTACATTCCAAAAAGTAGGGGCTAAGAGGAATAAGTGGGCAGAATCAAGAAAAGAATTAATTTTGATTTTAGTTAAATTAGGTCATATAATTATAAGTTGGCAGCAATGTTTTCAAACTTTTCAAAAAATGAAATAATAATAAAATTCAGGATTAAGTTAAAAGGTTTGATTTAGTTAAAAAGATTATGAGTTCAAATTATATCAAATGAGTCCCAAATATTTTAAAATCTAAATTACATCATGGAAACATTATTAGAGCAATAAACACTTGGTCAGTCCATGTAATTAGCTAAGCAGCAGGGATAATTGACTGTCCCCAACCTGGATTGGACAAACTGGGTAGGAAAACAAGAAAACTAATGATTGCACCTCGTGCTCTTTACCAAAGAAGTGACATTCACAGATTATACATATCCAGAAATAGTGCTATTAAAAGACGGCTGCAAATAAATCATGTAAGAATAATATACTCTGAATGATTACAGACAAAATGTAAACAAGTTCTGCTTATGAAAATTTGAAATGAAAAGGTCTTGGGGAGAACAAAAATTAAATTTGAAGTAATTCAGAGTCAGAATAACACTTGGGAAAGTAAACCATCTACGGCCAGAATGTGTATGACTCTAGAAGAAAAGCAGATCAAAATATGACTCTAGTTGAAATCTGAAATATATTAAAAAAGAAACTGCAGGAACAATCATTGCAGTTCAAGAGCAAATCCTGCAAAGAAATGCCAACAAAGCCAAAAATGCGAATGATATAAAATAAACTAGTAGATAATCTCACTAGTGGCAGTAATAAAACCGTTGAACAGAGTGAACATACTATAGTGCCATGATATGCATTAAAATTGTCCCTTGGAATTTATGTAGGAAATTTGGCTTTACTGTTTGTAGAAATCACTGGGAACTTGTGCCTAAGAAAGTTTTGCAAAATGACAATATAAAAATGTGAGCTTTCAAAACTGATTAAAAAAATTGATAGGAACTTAAAACATACTATACATTTCTGTTATAGTAAAGCATGCTAAAAGTTAAAGAGACCCATTTTAAATAATTTCTGAATTTAAATTTACATATTGGACATTTGTAATTTCTGCTCTAATCTTAAATTTCTTAACACTATGGTTTGTTTACTAACAGATTATCATATACTGATCTTTATCCAGATAATGGTTTGCAATCAAGTCATGGGGATCTTTGACAGATCCCCCAGTCTTGTTTGAGAGGCAATTTATCCTCCTTTCACTCAAAAGCTCTCTCAATGATTTTGCAGAGATGCAACAGTGGCATATAATTAAGATTATTTTTGTTGCCATCATCACCCCCAAATATGATATCTCATTTGTCTTCAATGAAACTCAAGCTTTTTCCACTGTTGCTCTAGTTGTATTTTTACTTGCTTCACTACTCCCAGCTCTGTAATTAATTGGGCTGTGCATGCTTATGAGCTCTGCAATGAAGAATAAATGCTGAAGAGTATATGTAAAAATTGATTGGCTTGTTTCCAGGTTTCATTAATTAAGCAAGTGTTGGCAGAGTTGACAGCCATCTATCCACACAAATCTCCAAGGCAAATCAAATTCGTGGAAGATAAAGTTATCAATAAAGTTATCAAGTTATTAGATCATAGGGATATTTTATTCAATACTCTAAAACTGCACTTATATCCTGCTGGCAGTCTTCCCAATGATATCTGACCGGCCAGTATGGGAAGAGGAATGTTGGAGGAATAAAGAGTCCTTTGATTTAATCCCACATGGTCT